AGACATAGGCATATTAAAATTAGTTCTTGCAGATACAAAAGGATTAATAGCTCTAATATATATTGGGTTTTTTACAAGAATATTATTAAAATAAAACTTATTTACATAAATATGACTATTCATTACTATATCGTGGTGTTGTAGTAACTTAAGTTCAAAACTTGAACATGAATTACTATGATTTCATTACTACTTTAGTAACTAGTCATATTTTTGTAAATCATCTTTATTTTGATCATATTCATGTAATTATTTCATATATATTTCTTCGTCACCGACATTAATCCACATTTGTTGAGCTATATCATTCTTCTAATGATTCACATATTATCTTTGTTCATCTTGAGTTTGGGGAGTTTCCATTTCTTCTTCAACTTCTTCCAATAAAGATGGTTCAGAAGAGTCTTCATTATTAGGTTCAACAGGAGACCAACATTCTATGCGTAGAAAATTATGGAGCTCAGCAATGCTAAAACTAACTCTGCTTGTGTTTTGAATGGAAACGAGGGAGCTAACTTAAAAATCGGAAACCATGATGGCATGATTTGAAGATACCAAATAGAGAGAAGGAACGATGGATGGAATCCATCCCCATCTATCTAAGCCGCCTTGAAGTTCCGTCCCAACCTGCCTCATTGTCACCTGACTCGTCGCCGACATCAATCCAATAAAGAAGAAGATGAGAGAAGGAAACTAGATAGAGTTTGGCATTAACCAGATCTTGGCAAGTCTTAACTTGGTTTCTAAATTCTATTCCCCCGGCCATCTTCTCATTAGCTGTCTGAAAGAGAAAAACTCAGACTTGGTGTTGACCCATTGGTCGTTCATCTTTTTCTTTTGCTTTTATTTTTTATTATTAGTTTTTGTTTTTTCACTTTTTGCCTTTACCGGTTGAGCAGGTGGACGGTCACTCGGGGTGAATTATAAAAGACTATCAATAAACTTCGGATTATTGTAGAATCATGCATTATTGGGATTAATATTAGAAGACGATGAATAATTGGGATTATTCATGTGAATTTTTCCTTTTTCTTTGTTTTTTTTTTTAAATCTGAACACAACTCCTTCAAGCACAACAATTCTTCAATACAACTCCACCATTACTAACTCAACTTGAGAACAAAACATTCGAGCCACTCATATTCATCACTTCACATTCATCTCTATGCCTGAAACTAGCATGCCACACTTTCCTTCATTGTTTTGGGTTCTTTGGAATTAGCTAAGAAAAGAAAGCGGTCAAATTTATTTCATGGCTCAACGGGCTGCCTAGGGAACAAAATGCACACACTGTGAGATAGTGATCTTTTTAAGGCCTTTTTGGTTAAATTTTAATGCCTTCATCATTCTCATGCAAGCACACAACTCATGGTTCTGAAATGGTTTAAAGCAAGTTCCAGAAGTAACACAACCAAGAGAAGAGAATTATGCACTTACAAAGAAAACAAGCTGCCCGGGGCAACTAATGGCTCAAAAACACACAGTTTAAATGTAACAACTGTTCTTATGCAAGAATGCACACAGCCAAACCCATCCAATCTTATTATGCATCCCTAGGAACACAAGAATCTAACTCCTAATCAATACAACCATCAAGTGGTTTTGAAAATTGGTAATCATCTTCATTACATGTAGGCATCGTTTCATCTTCCATTGTGTGAAACCTGTATAAAATATCATATATTGTTATTAGTGCATAACTTTATTATAAACACATAAACAATGAAGAACAGAAGTTTAATATTAACATTAAAAAAGCTGAACACAAGCTTCATTATAAATCCACTTGCACAACAAGAATCAGAAGTTTAACAGTAAAATATTATAAATTAAAACTATAGGTCCAACATAAACAATAATCACACATAAAATCCAACGATTAACAAATTGGTCATTCGAACAAAAACAAAAAATTAACAACAAAAGCACAAGTCAACAATGCTCATTCAACATTATAGTGAATCCACTCCGAACGCTCATGGAGTGACATTGTGAGAAAAGCTTCTTTCATCCCAAACTTATGTATGAACGTCAGGGCTTGATAACGTATGCGGTCATCTAAATTTGGAGTCTCTTTAATCGCATTCCATATGTTGTTGTTTTCAGCTTCCTTTTTCTCTTTTTCATTTCTTTCTCTATCTTTTTCTCTCTTTTCCATCAAAACCCTCATTCCTCGAATGTCACTAGCAATTTCAGAAATTGAATCCATGCCACTGGCAATCTTTGTAATCGCATTCCATATGTTGTTGTTTTCAGTTTCCTTTTTATCTTTTTCATTTCTTTCTCTATCTTTTTCTCTCTTTTCCATCAAAACCTTCACTCCTCGAATGTCACTAGCAATTTCAGAAATTGAATCCATGCTACTGGCAATCTTTGTTTGAAGTTCACCACGAGAAACACTGTCATTTTGCTTACAAGCCCTATCACTTTCAGATCTAGATCGTTTTTTTGAGCGGCTTTGTCTACTACTGTGCCCAGCATTTTGGGGAGGTTGGTTCAAGCTTTCTTCATTAACATTATCATTTGAGTGTGCTTGTTGATACGACATTAACACGTCTTCTGACTCATCAACAACGTAGTCTTCTAGAGACGGGTGTGTATTCTCTTCACCTCCATAAGTTCTAGCATCCGACTTCTCACCTAGTCCAATTGAGTATCTTCCTGTAGCCATTGCATTCCCAACAACTATTTGCAGGTCCTCGTAATCGAGAATGGTATCAGTTCGGAAGTTCTTATGCTTAGGATGAGACTACAAAAAAAAGTAATTAAAGTAAATATTAATAAACCATTAACCTATATTTATTTGTCTACCTATTTAACATACTTAAAGTAACTACAAATAAATATATCAAAGTACCTCGAAGTAGTTTTTCCACACTTCTTCACTAGCCGTAAACCTCTTATTAGTCGAGTCCCACCCAAAGCCTGGGCTAAACCTCATAAGTTCTTCATACTTTTGATATTTTTGTTTAAAATACTTCCATCGACTTTGATACATAAGGTATGTCTTCTCACATTGAAGCCTTGCATTTAATACTGGAAGTATCTGCTTTTCGACCATTTGTTTACTTATTAACCCACTGCTGTCACGCCACCCACGAATAGCACCATCAACCAAAAGTTGTAGCAAAAGAGAACTCTCTTGCACACTCCAAGAACTATAGCGAATCTTAGTTTTCCCTTGTGAATCACCCATTATTATCACTAAAAAATATGCATTGAATAAGTGTTCCTTTTTCATATAAGAGTTTGATAGTACAACAAAATTGTTTTTTTGAAATTGTAAGAATTTGACATTAAAAAAAAAACAAGGATGCAATCACAACCAGCAACAGGATATCAACCTCAACAACTTCTAAAAGAAAACAAACAGAACCATTAAACCAAAAATAAAGTGAACTATAACATTGTTAATTTTTGTCAATTGGGTTGAAAACAGAGAGGTCTATAGTAGAGATAAGATAAGCAAGTATGAGAGTAGTGAGTACATAATTAGTAGCAGCAACTCCAAACATTATTAGCAACTACATATTAACTCAAAACTTGAAGTACACTACCATTATGACATTTCATCGAATGCGTAAGGGGCATAACTGCAGCTCCCAAACCATAAACAACTCAAACACATAACATCATTTAACTGTTTTATGTACAGTGATATGTTTTCCTTCCAAATGCTGGAATCATTTTTATAAGTCGGAAGCAGACAGCAAACAAGCAAGGGCAGAATTACATTGTAAAAACGAATGCAAGGAGGCTGTAGGTGTATGGGACTATGGGCAGCCCGTTGGAGCCCATATTCATCTAAAGCAGTGGGTGTTAGGTGCGGGGAAGGAGGCGCTGAGTGAGGTTGGGGGAGAGCTGAGCTGCCACGCTCGAGAAAAATCAGTCCGTACGAAAAAGATTTTATTGAAGGAGATGAACTTGTGAGAAGATAGTAGAAGAGAAATACCTGGAGCAGAAGGTGTAGGCGAAGTGGCGATGGTGAGATATGCCTGGAGCTTATGGCGTAAGTTGGAAGGGCAACAACGATTTCAAATCCGGAAAAGGGGCAAATCCCTAAATTACAGCAAAAAACTCCCTTTTTCATTTTTCATTAAAAGAGAGCATCTCCCCTCTTCCACTGACGCTAAACATACGGAGTAGTTAACATCCTGGGTTGAGAACTTGTGGTAAATGCATATACACCCTAGAATTTTCTCTAAATCACATCAAAGTCTATACATAGTATTTTTTTTTGTGAGCAAATGTATTAAATGAACGTGTGGCAAACTAACTAACTAAATGTTGAATTATAGAGTTATGATGTTTTTAATTGGTTTGAAATTTTTGATCTGATGTAATTTGGTATAATCAATTTTTGCCTGATTTGATATGATCTGTTTTAAATTTTTTATTTAGACTTATTTCAGTCTTAGACAAGATCGGACCTGAACAAACCTGACTAGACATAAATAGACTAGACCTCGAAAAATTATAAAATACTCAGAAATCAGAAATCTACCGAACAAGACCAAACCAAGACAATTCAGACAAGGCCAAATCAGATTGGACCAGACCATAAAATTTCAATGGAAAAATATCTTGCATCTCGTCTGCTATGAAATGTGATTAATATTATTTATAAATTATAATCTGTATATAATTTATTTGCATTTATTTTTTCTTAAAAATAATAAAATTCCTCCCAAATTATTGTAGAGTATATCTTCTCAATGTATCGTACATTTTTAATGCATATATTATAAAGATTAAAGGGAAAACTATCAAAAAAGTCACTCAACTTTTAAAAAAAAAATCAATTAGGCCCCCCAACTCAAATTGTGCTCAATCAAACCCTTGAACTCATTTTAAAGCGGCAATTCCCCCGTTTTGACCGGTAATGCATTGGTTAACCGGTTAGTTGCACACATTATGGCATCCCACGTGATGATTTTCATTTTTTTCCATTTTCTTTTTTTTCTCTTTCTTTTTTCCTTCTCCTCCCCCTTTGTCCTACTCTCTCAGTTCGATCAACTCCCCCTTTCCCCTTCTTCCATTTCTTCCATCCACCATTTCTTCTCTCCTTTTTTTCCCTTTCTTCTCCCAATTCTCACCCACCGGTCGTCGTCCAGTCCTTCACGTCGCCGGAGATTCGTGAGAAAAACCCACGTCGTCAGACTGCCAGACGCCTCCTTCCCGCAGATCGCTTGTCCCCTGCCCATGAGTCGATATCCTTGAAGTCGGGGAAGGTGGTCCGTTGAAGCTTCCGGGTCGGTGATGGTGTTTTGTGAGACCTCCAGGCCGGCCATTTCCAGATCCGCTGGAGCTTCAATTCAGCCCCCACCCCAGTCGACGACAAAGAAGTAGAGAGCGGGAGTGAAGGCGGAGGAAGGTGAGGAGGTGAAACGAGGTCGGAGAAGCAGGGAAAGAAGAGAATGAAAAAGAAAGAAAAAAATTGCAGGTGTGCCGTGTGCGCAGGGAAGGAGAAGGGAGGGGGAGCTATGTTGCACGGAAACGTGAAAATCATGAGCAAACGAGAAGCGAGAAACGTCAACATTTGCTCAAAAAATGATTATTTGGAGAGTTTTCAAAGAGTTTCCGAGAGTTTCCGAAACGGGAAACATACTCTTTCCCGAGAGTTTCCGTGCTACACCGAGGGGGAGTGAAGAAGGAATGAATAAGAAAAAGAAAAAGAAAAAGAAAAGGAAAAAAGCCATTTCATGCGCCACGTGTGCAATTCGACCGGGATTTGGGAGGCTACCGGTCAAAAGGAGGGAATTGTCATTTTAAAATGAGTTCAAAGGTTTGAGCGAAATTTTAGTTGGGGGATCTAATTAAAATTTTTAAAAGTAGAGGAGCTTATTTGATAGTAATCCCAAGATTAAAAGTATGTAAAAACTATTTTATCTTCTTTATCATACCACAATATTTCCCCCCCTTTTACTTATAGAAGATACACGGTAAAAATCAAGAAAGTGTAATGTATTGTACAATATTTCTGAAAGAATTTTATTATTCTTAATAATAAATAACTAAAATTAATTATAAATAGTATATGAAGATAATATAAAGATATACATATTCAGAAACTATATTAAAAGTGTTATAAAGTTAATAAAAGAAAATTTAATTTTAATAAAAGTTGAATATATGAAGTACAAGATTATAAATTAGTTTAGACTAGAGAGTAGTGGACATGAACTTTTAAGTGAGACAAAGGATTTTTTATTTTATTTTTTTTTAAACATAACAGATGGAACCTATTATAACATAAATAAAATTCTAGACCAGACCAGCTCCAGACTAAAATTGATCTGGTCAACTAGATCAGATAAAAAAGTCCAGTCCAATTAAAATTCCCTAACTCTATAATTCGACATATCGGCTAGTTACTTTGATGATGACTCTTTGAATTTGTGACTAGCTTCCTTAGCAAACTCCGGCCATGAAGTAGCTCCTCATCATCTTCATTTTCAGAGTTAAATCCCTCTTCAAATAACAGGTCTGCTTCTGCCTCAATGAGAGGATCTTTGAAGCCCAAGTCAACAACAAACGGGACATTACCTCAACAACAAACGGGACATTACCTGTAGGCCCCTCTATTGTTTGTCTGCTTCATAATAAGTATGTATCAATAACCAATCCAACACAATTAAATGCTTCTCAGGTACTTCAAAGCAGTGAAAGATATAAAAAATTGCTATAGACACAAATTTTAAGAAATGATGCAACAATAATGTTGAGCACTGTAATATTATGCTTAAGCGATTTACAACCCTAAAAACACTTCAACAATGCATTCATGTATAACAATATTAATGTACAATAATGGATTCATATAAAATTGTATGGATGTATTCATTGTGTAGCAGGGGCGGACGTACAACAACTATGGGGGGGGGGGGGCAGCTGCGCCCAACAAACTTCTACTAGCTTATTATAATTTAGTAAGAAATATCCCAACCCTATACAATTGCCCCCAGTTAAAAATAAAAATGCCCCCATATACCTAGCCCAATCATTCAATAAGCCCAAAAGCCCAAATAATCCAAATTTCCAATGCCCAAATTAAAAATTCGTACTTGCCAGCGGCCAACACTCCCCACTTCCCCAACAGATAGAAAAGTAATTGACCAAATTGGCAAATCAAATCCCTAGCATTAGAAGAACAGAGTCTGCGACTGGACTCACCAGCGTCGAGCGCAGTGGAGCCTAGAGTCGACGAGCGGAGTCGTTGCCTGAATTCTTAAGCTTGCTCAGTGGCGCCATGGAGGCTCAAGGCCGGACGGCAGACGATTAAGGCCTTTAGTGCAGACCAAAAGGGAGAAATAGCAGCTAGAACTCGAGAATGGCGTCGAGAAAATCAAAAGCTCCGGTTCCAAATTCCAAAAGTGCAGGTTTCTCTTTAAACTTATTGATTATTGAATATTAACTAATAACTATTTGACTAATATATGTAATTTGTATTTCGTATTATTGTATACTTTATTTTTTGTTTTAACTTCATGAGTTAATGGCTAATGGGTAGATTAGCGTTCTGCCATTTTACCTTGATGTTGTAATCATGTAATGTTTTACTTGTTTAGTTGTTTAGACATGATAAATATTCATTAATAAAATTTATCTAGCTTTATTAAAAAGTTAGTCAAAATTAATAATCAGTATTAAAAATTAATAATCGTCAATCCTAATCCTAATTCCTAAATAGTATATATTAGGATCAAAGAATTAAGTTAACTAGTAAATTAACTATGCAAATTATATTTTTATAGCTAAAAGAAGGTGTAAGATAATAAGATATATAAAGACTACATTAGTTACCAAAAAAACTGATTTATTTATTTTATCAGCTTTTATGGGCAGATTTTTGAGTAAAACATCCTCCTCAACACCCTCCTCAACACCCTCCTCAACACCAGAAAGTTCAAGTGTAAATGTGTGTAATATTACTTCTCAATGTCATAACCCAATGTCTCAAGAAGTCAATTTGGATGACCTTCCTTCGGACCCCGCAAAAAGAAGAAAAATTTCTGAATATCATCCTAATCAAAGGGATGAAATTCGAAGCAAATATCTGATTAAAGGTCCTTGCCAACCACGTGGTCATGACTTCCCACAAAAGGAAATCGGGAATACTTTGAGACGGTTTAATTCTAAATGGTTTGATAAATACCCTAGCTAGTTAGAGTATAGTATTCAAGATGACAAAACTTTCTGTTTATGTTGTTATTTGTTTAGAGATTATTTTGAAAATCGTGGTGGGAGTGATGCATTTGTAAGCGAAGGCTTTTCAAGTTGGAACAAAACTGAGAGATTAGGTTATCATGTGGGTGAAATAAGTAGTTTTCACAACATAGCAGTTAAAAGGTGTGATGCTTTGATGAACCAAGATCAATCAATTGCAGTTGCAATGGATAGACAAAATGAAATTGTGAAAAATGAGTACCGTATTCGCTTGAATGCTTCTATTGATGCTTCAAGATTTTTATTGCATCAAGGACTCCCTTATCATGGTCATGATGAGTCTAAAGATTCTAACAATAGAGGTAAGTTTTTGGAATTGATAAAGTATACCGCCACTCAGAATGAGGCGGTTAGTAAGGTTGTTTTAAAAAACGCTCCGGGGAATAATCAAGTTATTGCTCCAAGCATTCAAAAAGATATTGCCAATTGTTTTGCACAAGAAGTGGTGCGTTCTATTATTGCAGATATTGGTGATGATGTGTTTGCTTTGCTTGTTGATGAGTCCAGCGATGTTTCTTACAAAGAGAAAATGGCTATGGTTTTGCATTACGTTGATAAATGTGGCATGGTTAAAGAAAGTTTTATTGGTGTTGTTCATGTCAAAGATACATCTTCTTTATCTCTTAAATCTGCTATTGATTGTGTTTTTTTTATTATGGGCTGAGTTTGAAAAATGTGAGAGGCCAGGGCTATGATGGTGCAAGTAATATGCAGGGTGAATTCAATGGTCTCAGAGCTTTAATTTTGAAAGTAAATAATTCGGCTGATTATTTTCATTGTTTTGCTCATCAACTACAACTAGTTGTTGTGGCAGTTTCAAAAAAACACTTTGAAGTTGGAGATTTCTTTGATATGATATCATTATTGTTGAATGTGGTTGGAGCTTCTTGTAAAAGAAGAGACATGATTCGAGAAAGCCACCAAGAAAAAGTGAAGCAAGCTATAAGCAGTGGCGAAATTAGCACGGGAACAGGTCTGAATCATGAACTTGCACTTCAAAGACCTAGAAACACGCGTTGGGGTTCTCACTATAGAACACTTTTGAATTTGGTTGAATTGTTTCCATCTCTTGTTGAGGTCCTTGAATATGTCGAAATTGAAGGCATTGATAGTGTAAAAAGACGTCAAGCAAACGGTCTTTTAAAATACTTTCAATCCTTTGATTTCGTCTTCTATTTACAATTGATGTTGCTTATTTTGGGACTCACAAACTCTTTGTCAGTTGCTCTTCAAAGGAAAGATCAAGATATACTCAATGCTATGTCATTAGTAGAAACAACAAAGCGGCAATTGTTAAAAGTTAGAGTTGATGGGTGGGGTTCTCATTTGAGAAAGATCTCTTCATTCTGTGAGAAGTATGAAGTTTCAATGATTGATATGGAAGAAAACTTTGTTAACCCCAAGCGGCCATGACAAAGAACTAATATTACCAATCGGCATCATTATGAGTTTGAATGTTTTAATACTGTTATGTATTTGCAAATCAAAGAATTTGAGGATCGGTTTGATGAGGTAAATTCCGAATTGCTTACTTGCATGACTTCTTTGAGTCCGATTGATTCTTTCCGTGAGTTTGACCCTTTGAAATTGATGAGGTTTGTTGAGTTTTATCCAGAGGATTTTAGTTGTGTTGAACGCAGGAGCCTTGAGCATGAGCTTGGTGTTTACATTGATAATCTCCTAGCGGATGAAAGGTTTCGAAACTTGAAAAGTCTTGGTGATCTTGCTCAAGTGATGGTGAACACAAGAAAACATCTTTCACACCCTCTCGTATATAGGCTTTAAAAGCTAGCTTTGACTTTGCCAGTTGCCACTGCAACTGTCGAGAGATGCTTTTCTGCTATGAAAATAGTGAAGACTAATTTGCGTAACAGAATTGGCGATCAGTTTCTCAGTGACTGTTTAGTTTGTATTATTGAAAGAGATCTATTTGAAACAGTAACAAATGAAACTGTAATAGATCTCTTTAAAAAATGAAAACTCGAAGAGAGCAGTTGTGATTTACTTTATTTGTGCCTTTTGACATTGTAATATACTTTATTTCATTATAATGTTCTTTTGCTACAACTATTTGTTGTTCAGATATATTTATCAAGTATTTTTACTTTATATTGTCTTTATGTTCTTCATACTCTGCCCCCAGCACTTTCATTTGCTGGATCCGCCACTGTTCTGTAGAATGGTAAACACATGTTGCTTACGAAATACTTTAGAATACCTTTCTTGAGATGAGTCCTTCTCCATCTTCAAATCAAGGACTGTAATTACTTTAAGCTTCTTGACAATGGCTTTAGGTCTTCAAATCCCATTCCGTTCGTTTCTAAGTTGCGTAAGAATAGAAGGGCTTAGGGTTGGAAGTTATTAACGACCTGTAAATGGTCAAGGTGTGTTGAATTTTGCCACACCAGTAAAACATTGTCCACCTCAGTGTTTTATCCTAACTAATTCCCGGTAAGACCAAATTAGCTCCTGTTTGGTCATTTTATGTACCTTTCAATCTCATTTTGTTAGTACCCAATTTTAATAGATTTTGATGATGCCACTATACTTTGCTATAGTACATCGTGTCTTAATTAATTTGCGTATTAGTATAATGACAAATCAATGTAAAATTTTTGTGGGTAGTAAACTATACTGGAAATTAAAAATGCAATAAGATAATTTTTATCTTAATAGGATATTTAAATCCTACCAATATAAATTTATTTGCACACAAAAATTAAATTGTCACAAAAAATAAAGTTGCGCAGGTACGAAAAATCATATACATTGAATGTATATGATTGAAGACAAAACTTGACCGACAGTTAATGCTAAATCAAGTACACGGGGTCTAGAACGTGGGAAGCACACATCAAATGATCCTGAAGTGATTTCTCAGCGGCAAATAAGTAAAGACATCCTCAATAAATGCTCCAGCACATGAAGACAAAAGTACAAGTCGATCAACGTCAAAGATTAATTCATCTCAACCAACGGATGAGATTAATCAACTGGAGAGGCCTATAAATATAGGCAGAAGCATGAGGATAGAAACCAAGTTTTTGAGCCTTCTAAGCAGAGAAAATCCTATTGAGCATTTAAGAGATATCTAGCAAAATAGAAAGTGCTTGTTTAGCTTTGCTCTCTGCTTAGACTCATGCTTCACTAAACTTTCAAGTTAGAACTCCCCGTTGCTATATTCTGAAAGTTTAGCTCATAGTTGGAGGCTAAAATTTCTGTAATATCATAAACTGTTGTAAACACTTATAAGGACAGTGTTATCTAGTCCTAAGTGTGGAAGAATAGAATAGAGTATCTTTTGATCCCCACTGCATCAATTGAAAAAATCTTAAGGATTGAGTAACTTGGAGTGGTGTGTACTCCTTGTGAAATACCTTCAATCTAGGCCAGTTTGTTGTAAAGGCTAGATTTGTAACACCGTCCCCAAGTATATTTACTTTTGTGTAAGTTATGTATTGAACCTTATGAAATGGTTAATGAATTTACGAGGTTGTAAATTTTTGTTAATTCTTTTGCGTGAATAGTAAATTGCACGTGGGGCCCACACGGGAGCGGGGACCACCCGATATTCCCGAGACCGCATATTTTATTCATCTTGGTATAGATAATAGTTATATGGTGGTGGACATTCACCTTGGGCCATAAGAAAGGCATTGGGTTGACCGATTGGTCAAACAAGGCCCAATTACCGGTTTTGGGTAATTTATCGGATAACAGTCCGAAATGAATTTCGGAGACTTCCAAATTAGAGTTGGGGAAGTATACTCATTATAAAGGCCCGTAATGATTGAGAACATACTATATATTTTATTTGACCCGATAAAATAAAGTATAGTTAAAACAGTCCGAGAAATACAACTTTCGGGGCCGAATGTACAATTCGGGACACATTGGGGTGACTTCCCACATGAGTGGGGGCCACCCCACGTTTTTTTGTGCTGGGAACTTCACTTGAGGGGGCTGTGGAGCATGGGATGGATGTGGGAATAGATGGGTGAGACATGGTTGACAACCAAAGGGACCCTCCCACACCATCCTTGTTATTGAGACAAAAAAATGCAACCCCCACCCTCTTTCCTTTGATCATTTCGGCCAGCCCTCCCCCAATCAAGAGCAAAGAACTCTACATCCATCATCCTCCATAGCCAAGGAAGCTCAAGAAAGCAAGGAGCTCAAGGAAGAAGAAAAAAGTTGCAAAAGTAGAGAAAAACCTTGAGAATAAAGGTGAGCAGCTCTTTAACAACTTTTCTTCCATCCTTTGATTTCATATGACTTATATATCATATGAAATAGCCTTAAGGATGTTCCACATGTGTATAAGTGTGGAACAAGGGGTTGAAACTAGTTCTAAGTCCAAAAACGGACTTAGGAGCCAAAACGACCGGTTAGCCGGAAAATAACCTTTTAGAGGTTATTTGTATTAATATGGGTTTTGTGATGATGAAACCTTGTTAGGAACTTGTCAGAGGTGATTTAAAAGCTTTCACGAAGTTTAAAGGGTCGCCGGAGTTATCGCCGGAGTTCGTCAAAGTTCACCGGAGTTTGGCCGGAGTTCGACCGAGAAGGGTAGAACTTCATCACGCTCATTTGAGGTGAGTGGACGGCTTAATGTCTTATAACTCTTGGGTTAATTATGAGATTACCTAAGTAAATGTTATATGTGTTCATAATGATGTTTAAAAGATGCTTAAACATGTGATTATCCAAAGTAATTAGACTTATATGTATGACCCATTGATATCATAAATGAAGTATGATATGAAAATGTTTATAAAAACATATATGATGTTTTAAGGGATAAAAGGGGCATGAAATGCTTGGTTATAACTTAATACATGTTGGGATTAAGTTTGACGCAAATCGGGGTTGAAATGGCGAGTCAACGAAAATGTTGACTTGGTTGCCCAGGGGGTAACCGGCGCCGGTTATAGGCAAAACCGGCGCCGGTTATGGATCGGCATGGCCGGTTTTATTAAATTAATTAATAACCGGCGCCGGTTATGTCAAAACCGGCGCCGGTTTGGCACTGTTTTGCCTATATGTTGATTTTAATGCATGAATTGCATGGATGATTATGCTTAGGCCTTAAGACGTGGTTTAGTCTTGATTATTGATTATGATATAGACCTTATCTAGGATGATATGTGGTAGATCATAAGTCGGGTGGAGTACCCAAGGATCGGGCGGTTATCCTCGAAACTCGGTTATATAGGGTGGAGTACCCAAGGATCGGGCGCGTATCCTCAAAACTCGGTTATAGGGTGGAGTACCCAAGGATCGGGCGGTTATCCTCAAAACTCGGTTATAGGGTGGAGTACCCAAGGATCGGGCGTGTATCCTCAAAACTCATAAATTATATTTTTTGTAATTTAGGACCGGGCGGTGTCCTCTTGTTAAGATGATTTGAACCAGGAGGAGTTCTATACACTCATAGGTATATGGGTGGGTTAGGGTTTAAGCCAAGGTTACCGGCTACATTATTTCCCAAATAAGCAATGACCTACGGGTCGGGTATTTCCAAGTGTATATATAATGATATATATTTTATAACTTGGGGGGGGGGGGGAGAACTATATGTATATGTATCACCCTATGTTTGGGTCTTATACTTAAAACGTTAGTTATTCTACATTTA